CTTTAAGGTTTCTCTCCTGGGTTTGTTTTTTGCATCAACATGGAATTGCTGCATAGATTGAATGAAAAGTAATGACCCATTGCAGGCAAAATTACTAGGGAACTGAAGAATCATTTTAAACAGTGTTGGTTAAAGAACCGCAAGAAGAAAAAGACTTCCTCCTAAGGAGAAATGGTATTGAGAAAGAAAAGAAAGAAAGAAAAGACTACAACAGTTTTCATAAAGGATTCAAAAAAATCAAAACTGGTTGGTGCTTTCTTGCATAATTTCCTGGAACAGAGTATCTGAACACAGAACTTTTCAGGACCTCTGGGTGTTCTTAGCAATCTCTTTAACAGGACTGCAAAAAAACCATCTGGAGGAAAGCTGGAGACATAAAATACTAAGGAGCAATACTGGCTAATGCTCCTACATGTGCAATAGCTTATATATGAAAAGTGAATTATGCCACAGTACAATACGTCTTCTTTTCTTAAACATTGTTTTATTATAGTCCTTCGTGGACACATACATCTTAACAGATGGCACGCTACCTCTTCTGTGTTTCCTGTCCGTGTGGCCGTGGTGCTCTTCATAACACAAGGTGCTCGTGGCTTTACCAGAGATTATTTGAGTCCCTTTTTATCTCTCAGACTGTATGTGCTGGTTACATCAGGATACGTTTCTGTTGTAAAGGTACTTATTTTAAATCGTTGGTCACATACTTCACTACAAAGAAAACGTTATTTATGTGGATTTCCTTTTTAAAATATTTTTGTGTACTGTTGTGGAAATGGTATATGAGACAGCACATTGTATATGATGCATATAGTCAGAACAGTTAGCTTTACAGCCATTGTAAAAAATGTCGTAGGAGAGCTACCTACAGTAGTTTTGAGCTTTAGATTATGTATTTCAGTTAACATTTTGAACACCAAAGGCATCTTAAGATGATATATTGTGTATATATATTTTGTAACTTGTGAAAAAAATCTACTGCAGCATGTCTTCTGGATGGCTGCTGTTAAATTATAATCAGCATTTCACCAAAATTCCATTTTTTTTGCATTATTAGGTCATTTCAGTTTTTTTCAAATTAAGCCTAAAATGTTCAGCCATCTTTTTTTTAATTAAAAAAAAGAATGATTTTGCCATTAGGAAAAGCACTCTTTATAACGATATATCTATTATCAGTGCAAAGTCTGCTCAGTACACGGCAAGATGATACCAGACTGTACCGGGGAGAAGGGGAGCGTTCGAACGACTCGTTTAACTGTCTTGAACCACAGGCAACCATACTTACCAAAGTATAATAAAATAAGCTTCCAAGCTATCTGTTTGTCTTTTACTTTTCTGTTTCGTATTGCATAATTCATTCTTAGCAATGATGAAAATCCTCTAGAAGGGCACTCGTTCGGTGGCAGTGCTTCCTTTACCAAGGGGAAACGCACACGCTTCCCGCCATGGAATACCGCGAGAGTGACGGTGCTTGCTTTCACAAGGAAACGGACGTGCACATCCCGTTTTACGCTTCACATCGAAGCATCGGGTTTGTTCCCTGTGAGAAAACCCGACAGAAGTAAAAGACAAAGCAAGATGACGGAGCGATGATAAAGGTTAGAGAAAATGTCTCACGTCTTGCATTTTCGAGACCGTTACGGTCTGACAGCATCACTTGTCACTTGCTCTTCGTTTGGCTGCGGAGCTGATGTTCTGACACATGGATTACTTTTTTGTAAGAAAGTCATTGTCTAGAAAATGTTCTGCTTCATGTATATTTATATTCGTCTCGCAGCCCTTTTTGGGAAATTCTTTATAGCCTTTATTTATGGTTTATATTAGCATGTCTCAAATGATATGTTTTAAAAACAAATAGCTTGAAGTACTATAAGGCTGCTCAAGGGCAATACCTGCGTTTCTGTAATTGAGGCGAAAGCGCACACCCCATGCAGGCGGCAGAGTGGACTTGCTGTCGTGGTTTAACCCGGCTGGCAACTCAGCACCACGCAGCCGCTCGCTCACTCCCCCCTCCCTCCGGGGGATGGGGGGGAGAATCAGAAAGAAAGGAAAAAAAAAGGTAAGACCTCTGGGTTGAGACAAAGACGGTTTAATAAAACAATAGAGGGAAAAAAGTAATAATAATAATAGAATATACAGAATATAGAAAACAAGTGATGCACAAGGCAATTGGTCACCTCCCGCTGACCAATGCACAGCCTGTTCACAAGCAGCAATGGCTCTCCCTGTACAGCTTCCCCCGAGCATGACATATGGTATAGAACACCCCTTTGGTCAGTTTGGGTCAGCTGTCCTGGCTGTGCCCCCTCCCAGCTTCTTGCGCACCTGGCAGAGCATGGGGAGCTGAAAAAGTCTTTGACTAGTCTAAACACTGCTTAGCAACAACTAAACCATCCATGTGTGCAGCAGAATGCTGACCGGCAGTAACGCACCACACCGCTCGAGTTGGCAGTTGCCGAAACGTTTGGCTGAAAGCACCTTGTTTGACTGTATGTGTGCGTGTTTTGGAAAGCCTCTTGTGTCCAGACATCTTTGCGGGAGGCGTTGGCAGGAGATCTCCTGCAATTTTGTCCCACAATATTAACAAGTACTCGTACTCTGCAGCTGATTTTTTTTTTGATGGTTTCTGAGGTGGTGGCTGCCTACTTTGTTACCCTGAATTTTAGAGCAAGCCCTGAGCTGGATTACAAGAGTCTTTGTCAGAATCCTTTTATCCCTTTTCATTTTTCACGGTTAAAAATCCATAAAAAGGCACCTGGGAAGCGGGGCTTTGAACCAGCCTAAAGCCGGAGGGATGAGGCCTGAAGGCTACGGGATGCTCCCGGCGCGGCAGGGGGCGGGGCCCTTCTCCCCTGCTCCG